CAGCCATTGCTTTTGACTGCTGAGCCATCTCTCTAGCCCCTCAGAATTTCTTTTCTGTTAGTTACTGGCATGAAACCCTTTACCGACTTTCTGTTGATTATGCTGATTCTCAACTATTCATATAATACTACTGATGTTGTGGTAATGATATGAACTATGGTGGTTATCACAGAAAATGGCAGGAATAAGGAATGGAAATTGAGAAAATGTTTTTTGCTGGGCAGTAGTGATGCATGCCTTTAATCCCAGAACTTGGGAGGCAGAAGCAGGTGGATCTCTGTCAGTTGGAGGCCAGACTGATCTACAGAGTGAGTTCTAGGACAGCTAAGGCTACACAGAGAAACCCTGTCTCAAAAAGAAAAGAAAAAAAAAAAAAACATTTTCTGTATTTAAGTGTATGTATACACTTAAAAGTTTAGGTAATTTGTTATGTGTTAGCCATAGTTAGTTAAAACTGATAAACACATTGAGAAGCCATGACTTGTTCTCATTTTTATTTTTTGAAAGTTCATAATATTGTTGTGGTTTTTATATTGCATTCATTCTAGTAATCATATTTTTGTTGCACATTCAGAAACATTTATTCAAATTTAGATAGTAGTGTTGTGCACGTTTTGAGGTTATGAAGAAAAGTTTCTTCACATCCCTTCACATGAATTGCTCATAGTTTAGCTTAGAAATGGAAACATAGGCAAGTTGACAGTTCTTTGGCAAGAGAGGCAAGATGGATATTGTGAAAGGTCTTTGAGCTATTTTAAAAAGTGAATGGTGGTTTGGAAAAATGGCTCGGTGGTTAAGAGCACCAGCTGCTCTTGCAGAGCATGTAGGTTGGGTTTGCTGCACTCAAATGGTAGCTCACAACTGCCTCTAACTCCAGTTTCAGAGGATCTACTGCCCTCTTCTGGCCTCTTCAGGCACTGTACGCACATGGTGCATATACAGGAACATAGGCTTATACACATGCTTATTTTCTTTTAAGTGAATAGGTTTCTCTCTATACATAAGATGAGATTAAAATAAATTCTCTAGGCAAATATCAGAAGGCATTCTAATCATGGAGAACCTGGGGAGCAAGCAGCAGAAAACTAGGACTAGTCTGGTGTGTTCAGGTGAGTTCAATGTGTTGAGAGAGTAGTGAGTGAATGGGATGATAGTAGGAAAGTAGTGAGGGCTATCACGGACCAATCCCTAAAAGGGCTTGTTTATTATCTGTTTTGTCTTTTACAATTATTTATTTATTTAGCATGCCGTGGGTGGGGAATATATCTGGAATGTATGTAGGGGCCAGAGAACAGCTCTGAGTTGGTTCTCTCTCTGCACAATGAGTCCTGGAGATCAAACTCAGAGCGTTAGAGCTCAAATTCCAGTGACCTGGAGTAACCCAGAGAGTTGCCTGCGTGACATATAGATTCATAGCTTTGCTCAGATTCTCAAAAGGATAAACACCCATTCAGTATAAAAAGGGGGCTAAGAAGCCATGCCAATAAGGAAAGTAGAAAAAATACAGAGAAAGTCATGCTTTGGACCCCAAGGAATGTAAAGTTGTGGCTGCTGCTACAGAGAGGTCAGATGAGCTGAGGACAGAAGACTCAATTGGTTTGGTAGTCAGATTGTAAAGTGAAGTTAAATGTGTATGTCTTCAGCCTCACCCAGACCATGGTTTCTGAGAATTGTAAGAAGTATTGGAGTGACCAACAATGAAGGTCAGCCAAGTGTTTAGGTTGCCCACAATTACTTGTTGGCATTAGCATTATAATTTTAATCTCAATTCAACATTCTCAACTACAAACTGGAAAGATCCATCTCTTAACTTTTTTTTATGCTTTATTACAAGTCACAGCTTTTGCTTTCATACACAAAAGCAAATGTTCCATACACACACACACACACACACACACACACACACACACAAAATTGTCAGTCTTTGACAGTAGTCTTTTCTGCTTTCTCTGTTCTCTCTTCTAATTATCTGACCCATACTGATTTCCATCTTTCTGTTTTAGTAATACTGGTTATGTTATTTTGGCATTTAAATTGAATTGCCTTCTGTTGATATTTATTTCACATATTGCCTTATTTACTTCACATATACATCCTAGGTATGGTAAAAGCCAAAAAACTTTTCGGCTTTAATTTTGAATTATAGGCTATTGAATTAATTAAATTTGCGTTATAAGTCAGTGATTTTTATAAAGTAATCTTATTTTTCAAAAATTGAAATCTTTTTTAGATTTTAAAAATGAAATATGCTGGCCTGGCAGCGGTGGCACATGTCTTTAATCCCAGCACTCGGAAGGCAGAGCAAGGGGATCTCTAAATGAGTTTGATGCCAGCCTGGTCTACAGAGCGAGATCCAGGAAAGGCACCAAAACTACATGGAGAAACCCCATCTCAAAAAAAAAAAGAAAAGAAAAGAAAAAGAAATATGCTTATCAAAGACTACAAACCAGAAATTAAATATTAATATTTCCAAACTGTTTTGTCGAAATCAATCTTGTTTTCAAAGTGTATTTTCTGTACAGAAATTGATTAGTTACCAATGTGGTTACTATATAAGCCTCAGTCATTTTAAATACAAGTGACTTATCCAAGATTAACTTTCACAGTTATTTGGGAAGTGAACATTAATGATGTCTGGTTTCATTCGGGTGGTAATTTAATCATGCAGCCTGTAGCTAGCACTTGTCTTTATCGTTCTCTGCAGTAAAAGGACCAGTGCTGTGATGCCGCCTTCTGGTATCAAAGGTCAAAACTTAAGAATTATGGGGAATAGATGAGCTCAGACAATGCCAGTTGGATCTCATATCTACTTTTGTTTAAGTAGATCTGGTACCAACAGTCCCAAATTATCATTACCTGACTGAAGGAAGAAATTTTACACTTTAGGCCCAATTTGGCACACTTTGGTGTATAACTAGGCTTTCTATTTCTCCTCTCTGGAATGACCATATATACATACATATATACATACATACATACATACATGTATTATATACATATAGTTTGGGTACTACATATCCTCAGATCATAATTAAACACATTTTAACAGAAAAAAATCATTTTAAACAGTTTTCAAAATGAGTTTTTAATTCATAGGAATTACTGATGGATGAATAGGACATAATAAAACATTAAGGTACTGATAATGAGGATAAAATTAGCTCACCTGTGGATGTGCAGTTATTCTTGAACTGTACTTTAGCAATATGCCAAAGACTCTGGTCTTGTTATTCAGGACTAAGTCATTTGTCCTGAAGTCTTGGGATTATAACTTGTCTGGCTTGTGTCAGGCCCAGAGTTTGAGCTCTAGTACTGTGTGTGTATTGGGCAGAGGGGTGATTAATAGATAATAAAACAATTATGTCCATTATTCCATTCTTGCTTAATATTAAAATTACTCAAATTTTCATAGGCAAATTTATTGCAATAAGTAATGTTTTTATTAATATCCACAAATTAAGAAAACAACAGGCCAGCAAGATGGCTTTAGTGCATAGAGGCACCTGCCACCAAGCTGGAGCACCTGAATTTCATCCTTGGGACCCACCTGGTGGAAGGAGAGAACCAACTCTTGCATGTTGTCCTCAACTTGCATACATGTATTATGGTGTATACATGTGGACCCATGACAGTATACACATATATACAAATAGATGTCATGTAAAAAAAAAAACAACAAATGATGCTTAATCACCTTGATATTTGTTTTTTTAATTCTATGTGTATTGGTGTTTTGCCTGTATGTATGTCTGTGAGGATGTCGGATCCCCTAGAACTAGAGTTACAGGCAGTTGTGAACTGCCTTGTGGGTACTGGGAATTGAACCTGGGTCCTCTGGAGGAGCAGGCAGTGCTCTTAACCACTGAGCCATCTCTCCAGCTTCCCATTTTGATATTTCTGAGCTTACATTACCTTAGGGCCTGTGGATATGTGCTAGCTACTCTAAAATAAAAAAGTGGTTACTGAAAGACATCCCTTCAGAATTTACTCCTGTACACTAACTGCCTTTTACATTAGGCCCTTAGCAACAGTGTCTGCTGACGTCACTGTGTGTAAAGAAATTTCGGAAACCATGGTGGCCAATAACATTCTAGGTGATAAAAAGTGAATCTTTGTTGTCCTTTATGCCTCCTACTTAAGCTACTCATAGGTTTCTCTAAATGAAGTCAGCATTTATTAAAATATTAATGTCTGGTAATAATATAATGTGAACTGCAGTGTCACTTTTATTCTTGGGAACCACATACAAAGTAGTAATTGGTTTCAATAATATTTAATTCAATATCTGTAAAATATTTAACGTACAGTCGTTTTTAAAGGTAAAGATATTTTACACACACACACACACACACACACACACCCCATTCTTGAAATTCAGTGTAGTATTTATGCACAAAGTGTATCATTTGAGAGCAGCCACATTTCAGGTTCTCGGTAGCTACATGTGGCCAGCTGACTTTTTTTATCCAGTTTATCTTTAGAACATCTAAGGGATGTGTGGCCATGACATTGAGGGTATAAGTTCCCACATGTCCAGTGACCATTATTAACTTATAGCCCTTCGAGACTGCCTGCAACTATGCTGGCCACGGGCCACTAGCCTAACGTTTGCTTTGGGACCACCTATTCCATGAACAAGGTAAATACTTTTTTGTTTGACCTAATACTATTTAGTAAAACAATCATAGGTCATTACTGGGTTGGGAGGGTCTTTTATTTTTTCCTTTGAAATAAAGCAGTGATGTTTTCAAAAAAAAAAAAAAAAAAAAAAAAAAAACAATCATAGGTTTCAGTGCCTTTATGTTTCCCTACATAGGGCTTTTTGGCCTGTTGCCAAATGTCACATCTCACTAAATAGTATGTTTCTGATGACATACAAAAGTTGTTTGTCTGACTTTACTCTTAGAAACTTGTGGCTCTTCACACATTTTGAATTATTAAGAGAAATGCCATTTTAGAGATTGTCATAATCTGATTTGTATTTTCTTTCCTATTTGAAGGGTGTGGAATATTATCTTGTAAAATGGAAAGGATGGCCAGAGTCTACAAACACTTGGGAGCCCTTGAGAAACCTCAAGTGTCCACAGCTGCTGCAGCAGTTCTGCAGTGACAAGAGTAGTTACTTGTCTCGGGTAAAGAAAGGCAAGGCAGTCACTCCAAAAAACAGTAGCAAGCCCTTGCCACATGCTGTCGCTGAGTACATTGTAAATAAAGCCAAGCAAAGAATAGCTCTGCGGAGATGGCAAGATTACCTCAACAGAAGAAAGAACCACAAAGCCATGATATTTGTTGAAAATACCGTTGACTTGGAGGGCCCGCCTTCAGACTTCTACTATATTAATGAATACAGGCCAGCTCCAGGAATCATCTTAAACAATGAAGCTACCTTTGGATGCTCATGTACAAACTGCTTCTTTGAAAAGTGTTGTCCTGTTGAAGCTGGAGTTGTTTTGGCTTATAATAAAAAGCAACAAATTAAAATCAAACCTGGGACTCCCATCTACGAATGCAACTCAAGGTGCCTATGTGGACCTGATTGTCCCAATAGGATTGTACAAAAAGGCACACAATATTCACTGTGCATCTTTAGAACTAGCAATGGTTGTGGCTGGGGTGTAAAAACCCTTGTGAAGATTAAAAAAATGAGTTTTGTCATGGAATATGTTGGAGAGGTACATTAAATTCATCCTATGCATATGAACTTTATACTCTTGAAAAGTTACTTTTCTACCTCAAAATATATACTTGATATATTTTGATGTTATCATTTGCAGATATGTAGAAATTCATTTTCAGGTTTAGGAGAAAGATTCACTGACATAGTTAGAAATGTAAAACTTTATATGAGCAAATAGATAATAAATTAACTTAATAGTTGGCATTCTTCATAGCCATTGACCAAGGCATATTTTTTATTAAAAAAAAATATACACACACATATATATTTGGTTTTTTTGAGACAGGGTTTCTCTGTGTAGCCCTGGGTGTCCTTGAACTCGCTCTGTAGACCAGGCTGGCCTTGAGCTCAGTGATCCGCCTGCCTCTGCCTCCGGAATGCAGAGTGCTGGGATTAAAGGCATGCACTACCACCACCTTGTGCCCATATTTTTTTAAGCATAACAACTATATTTACACAAATGTCCTAAGAAGGAAATCAGGCCTACCTACAGACATGCTGACATTGAAACTTTGAAGTTACAATTATTTTATTATTTGGTCCAATATGATTAAAGTTTTTTCTATTTTGTATCAATATGAAGGACATTACTGAGTAGAAAATGTTTGAGTGTTGTCAAATGTGTACAAAAGCATTTACTGTTTCTAAAAAACACTACCCTAAACTTCAGCCACTTTGAACTGCAGATAATTCTCTAATTACCAAATACTAGCATATTTACTTTGATAATTATCATATGCATAAGTGTCAAAGTAGTGGTCATCATGGGCCACAGCTAAGGACCTTAGTATATTAACCCCCAATCTTCAACTTTGTGAAAGAGGAGTTATCTCCACTTCTATGAATGAAGAATCTGAGGCACAGAGATTTTTAGCTTACAACAGCAGCCAGATTTAGTTGATAATATATATCACTTTGACTACTGTCGGTGTATTCAGTGAGCTAATAATCAAGCTGTAATTTTTTTTTTTTTTAAGATTTACTTATTTATTGTGTATACAGTGTTCTGTTTGCCTGGACGCCAGAAGAAGGCGCCAAATCTCATTACAGATGGCTGTGAGCTTCCATGTGGTTGTTGGGACTTGAACTCAAGACCTCTGGAAGAGCAGTCAGTGATCTTAACCTCTGAGCCATCTCTCCAGCCCTAAAGCTGTAATCTTAAGATTAGCAGAATTGCAGATAATACTGTGACAGATCCTGTGGTAATAGGGATGGAACCTAGCCAGTGCTCTACTATGGAGTTAGTGTCTCTAGCCCTGGGCGATGATTTTGAGTTGAAGCATTTCCTGAATATCTTCTGAAAAACAAAGCTTTTCAATTGGTTTATTGCATATTTAGCATAAAGTCTCTGTTATGTAACCAGTTTCCATTTGTTATTACTCATAGATAGGAACAATATGCCTTCAGAACAGTGGTTATCTACCTGTGGGTCATGACCCTTTGGGGTCGAATAACTCTTTCACAGGGATCACATAGCAGATATTTACATTACGATTCATAGCTGTAGCAAAATTACAGTTATGAAGTAGCAATGAAAATAATTTTATGGTTGGGGGTGACTATAGCTGGAGAGTTTTCTCTCCAGGTCCCGCCAAGCCCCGGCAGTCCGACAGCCCACTTATAAAATAAACACACAGACACTTATATTATTTAAACTGTTTGGCCTAATTGCTCAGACATCTAGCTATCTAGTTCTTACATCTTAAATTAATCCATTTCTGTAAATCTATACCTTGCCACGTGGCTCGTGGCTTACCGGCATCTTCACATGCTGCTTGTCATGGCAATGGCTGGCTCCCTCTGCCTTCCTGTTCTCTCAATTCTCCTCTCTGTTAGTCCTGCCTATACTTCCTGCCTGGCTACTGACCAATCAGTGTTTTATTTATTGACCAATCAGAGCAACACATTTGACATACAGACCACCATCCCACAGCAGGTGACCACGGCATAAGGAACTGTATTAAAGGGTCACCGCATCAAGAAGGTTGAGAACTACTGATTTAGAGGATATTGAGAGTGCATTCTCTTATAAAGGTAGTCTTCTGTTCATCTCTGTACTGTAGAGCATTCATCTCTATCTTGTGGGTAGCTTCTTTTACAGCCTGATTATAATGAAGGTAGTACCTATTTCAGCTTACCTCAAAGTTCATTTTTAGTCTTTAATCTTACTTTCCCTCATTTTTATACTTTTTTTCTATCTAGCTATTAGTTTGTATGAATGTTTGTTTTAATGACACTTGAATTTCTTTTAAAATGTTTGTAGGTATGTTAACAGCTTAATGATGTTTCCTTTGTTCCACAATAGCTCCATACTGTTCTGTGGTTCTGCAGAACACTGTGTCACCTGTAGCTCCACTACGCAAGAGGCTGAGGTAGAAAGACCTATGGAGTCCAGAAGTTTGAGAGATCCTATCACAGAAAGAAAAACCTGTAAAACTATAGTTCTATTGTTGTTGTTTTTATCTCCTTAGGTAATCACAAGTGAAGAGGCTGAAAAGCGTGGACGGTTATATGACAACCAAGGAATCACATACCTTTTTGATCTGGACTATGAATCTGATGAATTCACAGTGGATGCAGCTCGATATGGAAATGTGTCTCATTTTGTGAATCACAGTGTAAGGAACATGTATAGATAAGACAAATAACTTAGTGCTGTTTTGATGACTTTTTCTTAACTGAAAGATAATCATTTTTATACAGCCATTCTCATAGTATTTTAATATAAGGGCTGCTCCTGTTAAGTCAGGGCATTATTGCTGTAATATGAACATACGTATTGAGGTTTAACAGCTACTGTGTTCTACTACAGTCTTGATATCTCACTTCATTTAAGCTTTCCAATAACTTTATAGGGTAGATAGATAACTTCACAACAGAAGAGGGGAGTTATTAAGCAAAGGAGTTAAGTAAAAGTTTTAAGAATCTCAACAAAGTTATCTTATAGAAGTTAATACTACTAAATTTCACAGTGTGTGGTAAACCTTTACCTCATCCACATTTTATTCTTCATAGTCTCAGTTACCTAGTTAGCTGTAGTCCAAAAATACCCAGTGGGAATTTCTAGAAATAAATCATTCTTAGTTTTAAGTTGCTTGCTATTCTGATTAGTAGCTGAAGTCTCCGGCTGGAAATGTGACCCATCCTTTTGTCTACACTGTGTTTGCTACTTGTCAGTCAGTCAGTGGCTCTCTGCGTCATCAGCAACCATCATAGTATTTCTTATATTCAGGTGACTTTATTTTACTCAGCAGTTGTCCAGAGCCACAAGATTAGTAATGCTAGCAATTTGGATTTGCCAAAGTGTTCCCTTTAAGCCACAAGGTGAAAGTACAATAAGATATTTTCATAGAGCTAGACCACTCATATAACTGAAATTGTTCAGTTGTTAGTTGTTAATCTTTTACTGTGTCTGAATTAACAGTAACTTATCATAAGCATATATGTATAGGACAAACCCCTAGCAATATAGGGTTTGGTACTACTGCCAGTTTCAGGCACCTACTGAGGATCTTGAATTATACTCCCACGGATATGGGTGGGTTATTGTACAGCTTAAGGTAACAGGGTTGTTTTTTGTTTTGTTTTGAATGTCAGTGTGTTGACATTTTTAAATAAAATTTAAGGATTTCTAGAGCATTCAAGCATTTAGGACTATTTCCCTATATTAGTATTCTTTAGTTTTTAGTTTATGTTTGAGAAAGTTAGATCTGCAGTCTTTTTTTAAAGATTTATTATGTATATAGTGTTCTGCTTGCATCCTACATGCCAGAAAGGGACACCAGATCTCATTACAGATAGTTGTGAGCCACCATGTGGTTGCTGGGAATTTAACTCTGGACCTCTGAAAGAGCAGCCAGTGCTCCTAACCTCTGAGTCCCAATCTGTTTTTTGAAGATTTTATTTGTGTGTGTGTACATGTGTGCACAGGTGCCTGTGAAGGCCAGAGGGCAGGCATCAGACCCCCTAGAGCTAGACCTACAAGTGTTTGTAAGCCTCCAAATGGGGGTGCTCAACTAAACTCAGGTCCACTGCAAGAGCAACAAGTGCTCTTAATTGCTGAGCCATCTGGCCAGACCCTTAGTACCACAATTCCAGAATCTTCTACTTCATAAAACTTGTTTCCGGGCTGGAGAGATGGCTCAGAGGTTAAGAGCACTGGCAGCTGTTCCCGAGGTCCTGAGTTCAATTCCCAGCAACCATATGGTGGCTCACAACTACCTGTAATTTGATCTGGTGCCCTCTTCTGGTGTGTAGGCAGAAAACTGTGTACATAATAAATAAATAAATCTTTAAAAAAACAAACAAACAAGAAACTTGTTTCCAAAAACTAAGGGAAATTAATGACTACTGGGCACCTTCTGAGTACCAGACAATAAGCCTAGTGAGGTTGGTACTTTTTTTGCCATTATATATACATGACAGATAATAAAGGAAGTATGTCTTAAATAGTACATCATATAGCTAATCTTAGAAGATGTAGCCAAGTTAAAATGTCTGGTGGATTGCTCACCAAGAGTTGTGTGTGAGTATCAGTGAAATGTAAGAGACTGTCTAGACTCCCTTTTTGGTTGCCTGATTTGTTTAAACGTTTGTGTTAAATAATTTCTTCTTAATGACAAATTTGAGATTTTGCTATCCCTCAGTTAGTTTTAGGACTCCTTACAGGTACCAAAATCCTTATAAGTTCCTTGTGTTAAATTTGAGACATATGTAAAAACCCATACAACCTCTTTTATACTTTAAATCATCTGTAGATTACTTCTAATTCCTAATAGATTGTAAATAGTTACATTGTATTGTTTACAGACTGAGGACAAAGTCACTCAGCTTGTACATGTTCAAGACTGTGGTGTGATCTTTCTTTTCTATAAATACTTTTATAATCTATAGTTAGTTGACTGTGCAATTGGTTGAGTCCAGATGTGGGACCCATGAGTCCAGAAGGCCAGCTCTAATACCCAGCACATACTTCCTACTCAGGAATGATTAAACACCAGTTTAGATTTCTTGGTGGGACTCCCTAGATCTTTTTTCTTGCATATTCTGTAGTTTGGTGTTCTCAAAATCTTAAACAAGTCCAAAACGTTTAAGCATGAAACTATGTAAGATAAAATTTGAGTTCCATGGTACTGATTTTATTTTAAAATAATTATTTAAAATATATAAACACACATATATACATATGCCTTATTGAAAGAGTTACAAGTGAAATTGTCCATGTTATAGATGGAAATTATATTAAAATTCTCCAGGAAAAAAAAAAAAAACTAAGACAAAAGCGACATATTGAATACTTGATTTGTTTTATCTTTTTGTTTTTATGTATGATTGATACCTTCTTATACATGAAAAGTGTATTTTGAATGCACATGTCATAGGAAGCAGCTTGATTTGCATGAGAACTTAAAGTGATCATGTGGGAAGTAAACCATGTGATGTGGTACATAGATGAGCACCTTTGTACCAGTTTCACTTAAATAGGCTTTATTTTTTTGTAGTGTGACCCCAATCTTCAGGTGTTTAGCGTTTTCATCGATAACCTTGATACTCGGCTTCCCAGGATAGCACTGTTTTCCACGAGAACCATAAAAGCTGGAGAAGAGCTGACTTTTGATTATCAAATGAAAGGTATGGTTTTCAAGAGTAATTCTATTGGTATTGGTTTCAGTATGACAATGAAGGCAAGTCTTTGGCTCACAAACCAAACTAACAGCGAAGATAAAAGAAATCAGTGGGGTGGGGTGGGATACACAAAACAAATTATATGTGGAGAAGATGAAACACTACTCTGTACTAATTTAAAAATCTTTAAAAAATGAAAGAAATTGGGGGTGGAGGAGTATCTGCCCAAAGCCTATCTGACAGCTAAAGCTAGCACATGGTCTACTTTCCAAGTCACTGCAGCCTGGTTTTTCTTAGGACTTCCATTTTGGAAGCTGACTTATCATAACATCTTTTCTCAATACAATTAGTATTAATAAAAGTGTAGTGTTAGTAAAAATTAATAAAAATAAAAAGGATTTGAACTTTTACTAATAGATAAATGTTGACAAGATTGAAAGTATGATTTCAATTACATATGAATTATTCTAGTCCTTCTTGAATCTAGCTTTTTAAAGTAATTATATTGACTGTACTGTGATTGTGAGTATTTTCTATGAACAATATGCTTTATATGCTGTTCCTACTTGGCCTCACTGCCTGTGCTCTTAGTGGTATATAAAAAGAATAATTGTGCATTAGACTTTCTCAGTAAACTTTATCATGGCAGATATTCACATTAGCCTAAACCATCCTTTCAAGATAACTCAGAATGAATTGTCTCAGGATGTTCACATAAGTACAAAACTATTTTCCTTGGGAGTTAACCAATACCTTAAGAAAGTAAGCACCATTGCTAGCTCCAGGACAGCCAGGGTTACAAAAAGAAACCCTGTCTCAAAAAACCAAAACCAAACAAAACAGAAGATTTAAAATCTGTTCTAAAGTATCTTTTTTTATTTACTTGTTTGTTTGAGACAGGGTCTCACTATGCATCCCTGGCTGGCTTGGAACTCACTGCATAGCCCAGGATGGCCTCAAACTCAGAGACCCACCTGCCTCTGCCTCCCGAGTGCTGAGATTAAAAGCGTGCCTGACCATGCCCAGCTAAAATATCTTTTTTAAGATAAAGATTTGTGTATGTGTCCATGTGAATACAGGTACCCACAGAGGCCAAAAGGGGGGCTGGGATCCCCTGGAGCTGGTGTTTCAGGCAGTAGTAAGCTGCCTGACATGGATACTAGGAACTGAACTCTGGTCCTCTAGAGGAGCATAAACTATTCTTTACTTGCTAAGCTATCTTCAAGCCCCTATTCTAAAATATCTGTTTCCCTCTCTGTATTTCCAGGTTCTGGAGAATTATCTTCAGATTCTGTTGACCACAGCCCTGCCAAGAAAAGGGTCAGAACTGAATGTAAATGTGGGGCTGAGACTTGCAGAGGTTACCTCAACTGAAACTTCAGGAAATGGAGATCATGAATGTGTTTTGTTTTGTTCTAAGAACTGAAAAAGTATTTGGGATGCCTTTCTATTATCAAGATTTTATGTATATTAATGTACAACTTGTGTCTCAAGGTATTTACAAAGTACATTACTGTTGCTTCTAAAAAGGACTGCAGGACCACATAAACAGAATATATTTGGTGGTTACATACTAAATATGGAAAGTGAACTATTTACAAATCACCATATACTTAGTTAAGAAATCTGAATAGACAAGTGTCCCCTTTAGTGTTTGAAAAGCAACGAGAGCATGGATGTTATGAAACCTTTTACCATGACTCAGATAATTCAGTTTAGGCAAATGCACAAATTTTATTTTGTTTTACTATATTGTTCCTGCTTAATACTCACTGATCTTGTATTTGAGACAAAGAAGCAACACTGAATTTTTTTACTATATTTTCTACTTTTACATTAAAATATTGGCATCTTAATGATATATTTCAGGTATAAAAGTAAATATGAAAGATTTTCTTTCAGCTTGATCTCATTTTGAAGCAATAGATACCATTACAAAGATTGTATGTCTGAACCTGAAATTCTTAAAAGATTTTTTAATCCTGTTCAAGAAAAATCTCTAATCACCTTCTCTAGAAGTCCATAGTGGCTGGCCATTATGCTTCTTTGAAAGGACATAATAGTGTGACTAAGAGGACCCATCAGAGTGCCAGGCAGGGTACATGAGTACAAAGTGAGCCACAGCATGAACGAGGTCCACAGAGTACCTCATCGAAACTGAAGAGCAAGATCCCGGGGAGCACCTGTCCCCAGTGGCAGTGTGATTCACATCATGTTAATGTCACTGCCCGGCAGTTTTCACATTTCCTTTCTACTAAATTCAATTATTTTCGCATTTTCTGCATGTCCTTGAAAAGTAACCTATATTTGAACAGATACTTGTTTTATACAAGATTTTTTAGATAAGATAAAACTAAGTTTGGCCAAAGTTACGTCTGATTGAACTTTTATTAACCTATGGGGATTAGATGGGATTTTTCCCTGTGTAGTAAAACCCAATAAAGAAAAAACTTACTTTCATCTTTCTGGGTCTGGGAGTTCTAATCATGGTGTCCAGTGTGAAGACCAAAACAAGAAAAAGAAATGTAGCAAATAATCCTTTTTTCAGTGTCCTGATCAAGATTTACCTAAGCTTACTGCTCTGGGCTTTAATAGACATAGTAAGCTCGAGTAAAATGAAATGAATGCAGCACCTCCTTTATCTTCCTAACCTTAACCTGTTTTGGGAGAAGCTACAATGTTATTCAGAGTATTGCCTTCACAAGGCTGCTTGTTTACAATACATAGGATACACTGTTTGAATATTTGGAGCCTCATTGTATGTCTGCTACCCAGAATTTTCAGAATGTGTCAAGAAAATATATTTTTTTAATTGAACTTCTTTTGTTTTTCTTTGAGAATCTTAAAAACATTCCAGGTCTGGTGTTCTCTTCCCCACCCCCCACCCCACCCCCAGTGGCCAAGCTCACTCTGAAGTATTCTCAGGTTTAAAGATGAGATTTTAAAAAAAAAAAAAAAAAATCAGGTTTTGATTGTCTAGATTATTTGGTTTTATTTACTATTCAGGTTAAAAGAAAAAAGAGGGCAAATGGGGAAAGATTATGTTTTGTCCTTACTAATAGAAATTTAATGGGTTCTTAAGATTTTGTGGGGTGGGGATATGTCTTGAGGTAGGGTATTGTGTAGCTTAGGCTAGCCTTGAATTTGCTGTGTCACTGGGGATAGTCCTGACAGGAACTTTAGCAGAAGCAGAGGCTGGAACCATGGAGGAACACTGCTAACTGGCTTGCTCCCAGACTCACACTCAGCCAGCTTTCTTACACAGCCCAGGCATATCTGCCTAGGGATGCTACTCCCCACAGTGGGATAGACTCTCCTATATCAATTATTGATTAAGAAAATCCTCAACAGACATGATACAGGCCAATTTGATGGAGACAGTTCCTCAATTGAGGTTCTCTCCTCCTAGGTGTCCCTAGTTTTGTCAAGTTCACGGCTGAAGCTAACTATGATAATGTATATACATGCATTTTGCATATGTGACAGGGTTCTTGCTTGGCATTTTGAAACTCCTTAACCTTCGATAATTTATAACCTTTGAAGAATGACATAGCCACTACAATTCATCCTGCCTGTCTCTCTGCTGTTTGTAATGAGGTTTCATCATGTAGCATAGTGCTCAAAAGCATGGGCTCCAGAAGCCGGGCTTGTGTTTGAGTCCTGGCTTGGCCGCTTGCTAGCTGTGTGAACTAATCTGTGTGCCTTAGTCTCATGCCTACCTCAGAGTGTGGCTTCACGGATTAAAGCTTTATAAAGTGGTTTTATCACAGAATAAAGGCCATATATAAATATTTCCTGTTATTCTGTATTCAAAACATAAGCTGATCAGGTAGATTGATCTAAATCTACTCTATTGTTCTTAGCTCTCTAACTCACTTTAGCCAGTGTTCATGCCAGGCTTAAGACCTAAAATGTGAACATTACAGTTATAAAATGTTAGCAATATGTTCAGAACAATGTGCAGGCATGTTTTGAATGCTTGCCTTGGATCATGAAATATCCTATTAAAACTAAAGTCTTGGGCTGAGATTATGGCTCAGTTCAAAAACAAAATAAAAATTAAGTCTTGAGTATTTATATACAAGTAAATATATACAAATTAGTATATATACAAATGCATAGTTATATATACATGTATTCTAAGTCATATCACCCAGTAGGTTGGGTCTAGTAATTCCTTATCTAATTGCCATGTAGCACAGTGATGATCTGTGACATTCAGTTTAATCTGCACATTGTGAGACTCCATTTAAACTTATTTTAAGTGGTATGTCTACATCTTTTTCCTTGATATATAAAATGTCAGCATAGTAAAGTGCTTAGGAAGATGTTTATAAAGCTTTATTAAATCCATACACATCAATACAAAAGCATTGTACTTTAAGGCAATTTGACAATTGACAGAGCTTATATGTTAACCATTCTAAGTGTTTTCCTTTATATTCTAATTGTTGTAGTTTCAATTTATCATTATATTGGCGAAATTTTTATTTATTGAAACAAGTTCTTGCTAAGTTGCCCAGTCTTGACCTCCAACTCAAGTCCTTCCTGTCTAAGCCTCTAAAGTAGTTAGAACACAGCCTTCCCTAGCCTCTTGGTGGTTTTTAAGATTTTTGTTTTATGTCTGTTTAGCCTGCCTGTATGTATACGCACCGCACGTGTGCCTGGATCCCCCGGAATGGAGTTACAGACAGTAATGAGCCACCATGTAGGTGTTGGAAATCAAGCCTGGGTCCTCTACAAAAATCAGCAAGTGCTCTAAACTGCTGAGCCATCTCCCCAGCCCTGCCCAGGTCTTTATGTGATATAATATCTTTTGAGGTTCCCCGTGCTGTCCATTTACTTTAATAGAGCCACCGTTACTCTTCTAGCCTGCTTGTCATGACTCAGCATACAGTGGATCTTGGTGGAATGGTCTGCTTTTACTTGAAGAGATGTATTCTGCTGTGAAGTAAAATACTCTTGTTTATCAGATCCAGTTGCCTGGTGGTGGTCCGTTTTTGTCTTACTGATTTTCTGTCTATATACTCTTTCTCTAAGAGAAGCATGTTAAAAAATTTTTTATTTGTGTATTATCTGGTCTCTTGTGGAGGACAGTACTGGGGATTGAACATTTGGGCTTCATACATGCTAGGCAAAAACTCTACCATTCCATCTTGGTGAGTTAGACACTTTGTCCAGGATAGTATCTGCTCTTACTATAGCCTCTCTGGCTTTCGTAACATATTTACGTTGTCCTTTTACTTCAACTTCCTATCACTTGAATTGTATTTTCTGTAAACAGGACACAGTTGAGTTATGTTTTTCCCCGAGGCTCTCGTTTTATGAATGTCTTGACATCATTTGGACTTAATGTGATTAGTAATGTGTTCAGATTTAGCTCTACCATCTCATGCAACACTGGTTTTGACCCTGTTTCTCTTTTAGGTCATTTGAGTATTCTTTAGTATTCCACTTTGATCTGTTGTTATACTGATGTATCACCTTGTGTAGTTTTAGTGGTTGCTCTAACAGGTGTGTCTAACCTGCAAACCATATATATATATCCACAGCTGTGAATGTTGCCCAGAACATTTGTGTATGACACTGTTGCACCAACAAAAGATTGCACATTCTTGCTAGAATGAGGGTTTTAATTCTTAAATGTCTAAGAGTGATCATTTCCTTTTTTCAACAACTATACTCTGACCTGTTGCCAATTTTCCATATAAATACTGTAAATGCTCTGGTTTAGGAAGCTCAGCCTCTGGAGTTGAGGGGATTTCAAAATCAGAGGAGCTCTGCGAATCCGCATGTGTGCTAGTTAGTAATGTTTTCTCAGGTGGGGATTTCCTGCCACTCACAATGTCTGGTTCTCCAGTGTGAGGATCTCCATTTACTTCATCTCTGCTTTTCAAATCACAGTAAGTATCCTGTGGACAAAGTGCATTCTGTTCCATTTGAGAGGCAGAAATATTCTCTCTGCTTTTTGGTCTGTAGGCACCCTTGTTCAAAGATGGACTATCCCCACCACTTCTCTCTTGGGAAGATAACAAGACAGTATCACACTGGCTGTCCCAGCCTTGACTTCCTTGATCTGTTATGTGTGTTGACTGAGATGAATTCTGGGAAGAGATGTGAGTGGATTCTCCATCAGAGTCACTGAAAAGCTTTGGTGAGTCACTGAAAAGCTTTGGTGAGTCACTGAAAAGCTTTGGTGACTGAGATCCCCCTGTCTCTATAGAGGAAGGTAAGTTTTCCAAACACTCATCATCTGTGATGTCATCTTTTCTTTTGAAGAATACTTCCCACTGTGGTGTGTCTGCATCAGCATGTTGCTGGGGGAGTGTCACAGGGCCCAGACCTCCCTGCAGTGAAGGTAGGGTTTCCAGCTCTTCTTCACTGTCACTGTTAGATTCTTCACAGTCTACAAAGTTGGCCAGAGAAACATTCTGCACATTGTCTGCTGTGTAGCATCCAGGGCTCTGTCTCAGTTCAGACTGGCCTTGTGGCAGTGCCTTCATTGAAAATACCTCAGGGTGAAGAGTTAGCTGGTATGGAACTTTGTGCCTTAACAGTGTTGGTAGAGGGTCATCAAAGAGATCATCTTCCTCCTCTGAAACAAGCAAAACAGGCATGTACGGAACAAGGGAAAGAATACTTCACTTCAGTGAAAGTTGGAGCTGTAGCATTTACCTGTTTTAAATCTTGGAATTGTATAAAACACAGGTGCCAGTCTACAAAGAGAAATTAAAAGGCTGCTATCTGTTGAGAATATAGGTCAGTACATCTCAAATCTGAGTGACCACTAGACTCACAGGGTGACCTGTTTTTTTTTTCTCTTAAAGGATTTTGTTTTCAATTATATCTATGTGTGTGTATCTGTGTATGAATACGTGCCCATGAATGAAGTGCCTGAGAAGGCCACTGGAGCTGGAGTTAGAGGCAGTTGTGAACCAACTAATGTGGATGCTGATTTAATATTTCCTGTGTGTGGACAATCCATGGAACATTTTAAGAACTAAGGGATATGAAGGCCTGGTCAATAAACTTGTAAAAAATGATCAGTAAACCTACAAGTCTAGTTCTGCACCCTCTGCCCTTGAGCCTTCTTTGTGCATGAGCCACCTTTCTTGATAAGTGTAGCTCCAACCCATCATCAAATAAGCCTCTCTTCACAGTAAATGGAGGCCATCGCAGAAAACCACAACTGAACACAATGCAGACATCAACGGACCATGAAGAGCACAGCCCCCCAACCAATACATCTACATCATAGTTTCTGCATCTATGGCTCAGACAATATAATATTGGGGAAGAGGGGACAGAAAGACTGTAAATGAGCCAAAATAGAAGTCTGCTGAGAAAGTCTCTCCTAGAAATGTCTTTATAAACAAGATGGGAACATTGACAATATGAATCGACATGTTAATGTGGAAGGGGGAAATTTTCCTGAGTTCCAACCCTAGACAGAATTACAAGCAACTAATGACTGCTGGGAGGAGAATTAGCCTCTCCAGGGATGAGCCCCCTTACTAGTCATCCAATGCAAAATTATCAGCCCTGAAACCATACATACAACAAAAACAAGTTGTACTTCTGTATGTTTGTGCATATACATATGTCCATGTGTATATGTGTAATAATAAAAGAGATTATCAACTTGGGGAATATGGGAGGGGCTAGAGAAAGGAAAAGGAAGGAAAGTCATGATCACATGTTAAAACCCACTCAATAAAACCAATGACATGCATGGACTGAAATAGATATTGCTTATAAAATATACCATCCTTAACTCTAGTTCCAAGGCCAATGCCTTCTGACTTTTGAGGGCACCAGGTACACGTGCACAGATATACATGGGAGCAAAATTCATATACATTAAAAATAAAATCTCAAAAGTAATCTAAAATTAGATTCTAAATGAGTAGAAATATAGAGAGGTTAAAATGCGAAACAGGCCTGGGTTCAAATCCTGGCCCTATCATTTCCTGCTAGACTTTGGGGGATTTTCTAAATTGTTAAATTGTCTAAATTCCAGTGTTCTCTTTGGTAAAGTCAGGTTGACATCACTTGTAAGATTGTTTACAGGTTTAACTGTAATATGTGTAGAAGATGGAGCCTAAGACTTGCCCTACGTAAGTGTTCAATAAATAGCATCCTTCTCCAGTAAGGATTCACTTATGGTACTCCACCAAGGGATGGAAATCTGAAGTCGTAACCACCAAGTGTGGGTGCTATAAGCCAACAAGACTTTGCTCAGAATCTGAAGTTCTCATTTCTAATCAGAGCTTATCTGTGTTCTTAACTACAAAACAAAATAGCAATATAAGAAGGGTAGGAATGAATGGAGAAGCATTCTTTGTAATAACATCCCTGCTCAGTCTGCTCAGAACCAAAGGCAACCAAGTCTCTTCAGCATCTGCTAAAGCCCTATCAAAAACATCCCAGGGTGGGTGACAACACAGCCCTCCTTACAGCCCACACCAGTCACAGGGCGTATTCTGGGAAGACCAAAACCATTCTTACCTGAGTCTAGATGGATTGTTCTGGTTCTCTTCAATTTTCCAAGTGGTTTGTATTTTGGTTCAGCACTTTGGGAAGATCGGCACAGAGGCTTTAAACTGACATAAATCAGAATATTTGACTTTTACTTTTGGGAAAGCTTCTGAAGCATAAACATCACTTATAGAGATTAGAACAAAACCATAGGGAGATCATGTGAGCATTTGTGGGAGAAGGGGGAGATATTTAGTAAAGATCCTGCAACTTAATAAAGTGGCCAAGTAGAAGCACTTACAGACACATAGTAGATACTGATCACCTACAGAGGGAACTGACTGCCTTAGCAGATTAAAGACAAACTTGAATCTTTGCTCTTAGAACGTGTAGAGCATGCTATCCCAAGACAGGATTAAGTAACCCATGCTGTGGAATGGTCTGTATGTCAAATTACTCTGGTCAATACATAAAACACTGATTGGCCAGTGGCCAGGCAGGAAGTATAGGCGGGACTAACAGGAGAATTAAGGGAACAGGAAGGGAAAGGGAGTCACTACCAGCCGCCATGACAAACAGCATGTGAAGATGCCGGTAAGCCACGAGCCACATGGCAAGGTATCGATTTATAGAAATGGATTAATTTAAGCTATAAGAACAATTAGCAAGAAGCCTGCCACAGCCATACAGTTTGTAAGCAATATAAGTCTCTGTGTTTACTTGGTTGGGTCTGAGCGGCTGTGGACTGGCGGGTGACAGAAATTTGTCCTTGTGGGCAAGGCAGGAAACTCTAGCTATAAACCCATTGACAGCATCTAGCATCCAGAGAGTATAGGAGAGGTGCTTCTTCCCTGTTTAATGGCACTTACTTACCTCTCGCAAGAATCCTACAAATCTGATCAGATTCCAGAGCCACAGGCTGAAAGCTAGCACACACAAATAAAATCTGTAGGGGGTCCACCCTCCCTGAGGGCTGCACTACCTACTCTCCTGCCAGGTTGCTAGAAGCCTTGAGGATTAGAGCCAACAGAGCAGATAGTGACAGCCATGAAGCTCCCAACCTGACTACAGTCACCTTTGTTCTCAGGTCTGAGTCCCTGGCTCCGTCCCATGTGAGCCCTCTAGAATCTGCTGTGACTGCTTCTCTCTGGAGCCATTTCAGGCATTCTCTTTAGGGTAACTTTGCCAAGTGAGGCTCACTCTCCACCCACCCACCTACAACAGATTGCCCAATAGAAATGCAAGATAGGAGAATATACATTTTAACAAGCAATCCAAATGATTCTAAGTACATTCCCATTTAAATCTACAAGATAATCTTCAACCTCAGCTATCAGGATCAAATTCTTAATGCTTGCCTTGCTAGCCAGCATGTTGCTTCCTTTACACTTCCATGCTTTCTGGCTTCTAACAAGTCTACTAAAACTGCTGTGAGCAGGCACAAATCGCCTCATTACCAAGCTAACCAGAGACATCACAGTCCCTGCACTAAGTCACTTTAAACAATTTTGTTTCTATTTCTGTATTCGTGTGTCCATCACGTTTGAGGTTTTGAGGTTCCATGGAGGCCAGAAAAGGGCATTGGGTCCCCTGGAGCTGAAATTACAGCCAGTTGTGCACCTCTGGATGTGGTTACTGTGAACCAAACTCGGGTCCTCTGGAGAGCTTTTAACCACTGAGCCATCTCTCCAGCTTAGCAGTCTTAAGAATTGCTCACCAGTAACTTCCACTTTCCCTCCTCCTGCTATCAGAACTTGCTTTCCAGCTCTTCCTTAGTTTGCTGCTGGGGTTCTGGCCTCAGCCTGGCTATCATTCCTCATATTCCCTGGTGATTTTTGTCCTTTTCAGTTACTGCCCTCACTGACAACTAGAAATCTGTGCCTCCCACCTGTCTGGTTCCAAGAAATCTTTTTTCCCAAAGTCTGGCATTTAGACAAAAGCTAACATCCCCTCAGGGACTTGAGAAAGTAGCTTTTACATGCTAAATGAAGCATTGTCCTTATCTCTGGCAAAAGGGACTCTCTGGCTCTTCCATTAACACACACCCTGTGGTGCCTACTAGCATATCAAGCTTCTAGGCACCTTCAATCCCTACACTTCAAAGACCTCCACCCCAGTTTATAGGTTCCTCTCTGCCCAGGTACCCCTCCCTTTTAAAACCCTGGAAATACGACACCCCCAGCCCCTGTCTTGCTCTCAGATTTCCCAGGAGACAGCCTTGGCAGTTTGGAATAAACTTCCCTTTTTCTCCACTGAGTGGATTTGGGTTTCTTTACTGCACCTATTTCATTCTCCATAGCCTAGAGCCTGTTTTCCATCTATCTAAGCTCAGTGCTATATGTCTTCATCAGTTTCAGGTGGATTCCCTGACACTAGGCTAATTTCCTTCATGGCCCTGGCAGCTTGTGTGCATGTATGCCTCCACACACCAGCCTTTCCACAGAACCCTAAAACTCAGCGTGGATCTGCCCCACATAACTGTTGAGTTGGCACTAAATGTTTAATGAATGGACTTAGCCGGGCAGTGGTGGCACACGCCTTTAATCCCAGCACTTGGGAGGCAGAGCCATGCTGTGGATATCGTTCTATATAAATAAAACACTGATGGCCAGTGACCAGACAGGAAGTATAGGC